TTTATTCTAGGTTACAAAATTAAATTGCTTTAATCCTTATTTCAACCCGAAATTAACCAATTAAGTGAAGATTAACTCAGATTATCCTTATACAATTAAGCATTGCATACATCATATAATCTTATCTCTAACATAGGATTAAACAAATTATGATAGAGTTAAGAAAAAAAAAAACGAAATAGAAGAACAAAACCTCAAAAATCTACTGCATTCTCCTCATAAAATCAATATAAAGATTTAACTGGAAATATTGAAACGCAGAATAAGAGACATAATTAAAATTGAAACAAAAATTTAAAATAATGACACAAGAGTAAACAAACTTGAATACAACATGTAGAAGACAAAAATGACATTCCGAGGATGCGGCTCTGTGATGTGCGTCTCCGTGATATGCCTTCACGTGATGTGCCTCTTTAACCCTACATGATCACTAACATAAATAACCCTAAACCTTAATCTTAATCTAGGTTTGAGCCCAACTGGCCCACAAAACACATCAGAAACAAATAAAACAAAAACCCTAATCCTAATGCACAGCTGACATAGCATCTAACCTAATCTTCCAAGTCCAAAATTGCTTTAAACTGTCATGAAAATAATAATGAGCAAAAATTACATCAAATAGATTCAAATTAATTAAAATCTGAATTATTGGTCCAATGAAACCTAATTAATAAAAATTCACTAATAATAGATAGTTAAATCTAAAACACTAATTAAAATAAGTACAAAAAGGTAAGAAAATATAGGAATATAACGACTCATCAATCATCTAATTATTTATTGTTTGTTTATTATTTTTTAAAAATATTTTTTTAAGATTAAAAAGTCAAAATTAATGAAAAGTATTGTTTTCTATTTTTAACAATTTTATTTATTACTTAAGTACTAGTTACATTTATACGAGTGTTACACTGAAATTATTAAAATATTTTTTAAAATTTATTTTGATTTTTTTTATGTTATTCTCTTTTATTAAAATAATTTTTAAACTAAAATCATAATTTTTTTCTAATATTTTTTTAAAATTCATCTTTAAAATTATTTTTAAAAAATTAAACTAAATGAAATAAATTCTAAATAGAAAAAATATATTTCTATATAAAAGTGTAATTTTTTAATATATTGTTATGAATAATAAATTATAATAAAAAATAATAAAATTAAAATTTGAAAATATTTATACCTGTACTAAATCTAGTATTTGATCAAATTTAAATTTATGATTTTCTCTTATGTGGTCATATTTTTCTTGTTTTCTCTTCATCGTATCTTCTACGTTTAATTTCAAACTTATCTTCCTAATGTTTCTCAGTTATAAATTATACATTTTATTCTTACCCATTTTTATTTGGACAATGAAACCTTTCAAGTTTGTCCTTCAATTTTAGTATTTGGTCTTTCATGAAAATCGAGTATCTTTTCTTTATTAGTTGTCTTATAATCAAAATATTACTCTTGATATTTGAAACATAGAATATATTTTAGATTGACCCGACTAGGTCATCATCATGTAAGAAACAAATAGTATATCAACCTTTTAACGAAACCTCTGAGTCATCTTCAAAAGACACGTAATTGCCTTCAAATTTCCTCAATTTGCTAAATAAGTGTTCATCCCAACACATGTGATTACTCGTACCTGTATTCAAATACCATACCGACTTGTAATCAATATCTTTTTGAACTTCATTACCGCTATTTTCTATGTTAAGATCGGTCATCAACAATATTGCTTCTTTAGTTTCTGTCTCCTCTGCAAGATAGGTCTCTTCCAACTTTTGACATTCTTTCGCAAAGTATCTAACCTCACCATAATTATAACACTTGTTTGAGTAACAGTCATTTGCATAGTAACCATATTTGTTACACATGAAACATTCAACATTATAGTGACTTGTGGACCGACCTTCTCTCGAACTACGTTCACTACCTCGACAGTTTTGTTGATTTTCTTCTTACCACCTCGTCCACCTCTATCTCAACTACTGCATCCTCTACCTTTATTAGTCTGATAATAGAGAGTCATCTTCTCTTTTGCTTCGATCAACACATGTATAGTCGTCTCTTTCTTCATCTTCTTCGTTCAATACTTTGTTCTTAAAATAGTTAGTCAACACGATTTCAGATATTGTCTCTCCATCCCGATTCAATTGGATTCACCATGGATTTGACACACATAATGTACTCAAAAGCTTCTTTTTTGACTATTTTATCCTCATGACTTCAAATTCACCATATAGTGTATGTAATCGAATTTGTTTGATTCGATCGTCACCTTTATATGCTATCTCCAATGTCATTCATGTTTTGTTTGTAGGTGTAGCTTTTGCATTTCTTTTAAAATAAATATTCTACCACTTGAAACAATGTAAATAAAGTTACACTATTCTACAAACATTCCTCTTTCAATGTCTTGAATGTGGAGATTTTCCATTCTTTTATAGTTTTTATTTCTTAAAATCGTGAGACTAACCGCTCTCACTTTTCAACTTTTTTTTATAGTAAAAAAAAAGTTAAACTCAAACTCTCTTAAAACATCCTAACCTTTATGAAAATAGTTAACTTTTTTCCCTGTAACTCTCTTTAGACACATAATCCTTATAAAAAAATCCTAACTTTTTAAAAAAATTCTAACTCTTCTAAAAAAATACTCAAGCTCTAATAATCTAATAACTTATATGTATTCTTTATCATACCTCAATTTATTCTTTATCATATCTCAATGACAAATGAAATTATATATTTATATTATATTACAAAATTTTAATATTATTTTTTCAAAATCAAATAATAATAATTCATCATATCATAAATATCAAATCGTCTAACAAATTTCAAATTGATGATGGTAATAAACTCTTAAACTAATTTTTTTTCTATTTTTTAAATTTTACCCAACATTATTTTCTTATTAATTTTTAATTTAATTTTGCCGACATTTCACTTTATCTGAACCTCTCCCCATGTGGTTTCTTCTCGATACTATTTAAACGTTTCAGTCTGCGATCAAAATCCCAAATTCTTCCCCTCCGAACCCTATTTCGCAGAATTCCAATTCCTTTACTTTTTCAATTATTCTCCTCTATCTGATCTCTGTAAGCTTCGTAAACCACGGTAAGCATGCGATTCTTCTTCTCTATTTCTTTATCTTCTCTTCTCTTTGACTGATTCTCTATTTCCATGTTCTATTTGATGTTTCCTGAATCGCCTCAACATCTTGTTTTAGTTGCCAATGTTTTTTTCTTCTTCCTTTGTCCGAATTTTTTTGTATTTTTTGTACTATATATTCTTTATTCGTACTGATTCCATTTTAAAATATTTGATGGTACGATCTTTCACTGTTCCACACCTGCTTATTTTTTTATTTTTGGTGAACATTTTTTTATGTGCACATGGGTTAATGAATAGGGTAGACTCCGTCAGTTGTATGTTTTTCTTCGTGTGAGATGGTAGGTTTTCGATGAAAAATCTGAAACTAAAGATTTATTGTGCTAAGCCAATGAATGAAATGACAATGTGATCTGGCGTGTATTTGTGGAAATGGTTTTCTTTTCTTTTCCTTTTGTGGGTGAGGGAGCCATCAATTTTTTTATTTTTTTTTTGTATTTGATAACATCACATTTCAAGCGATTGTTGAAGATTCAGTAATGTACTCATTGATAGTTTTTGTCTAGTTATTTGAATCTTTGCTTGAGCATAAGTTGTTTGGTGAATTGTCTAACCCAAGATTTTCCAGCTTGCTGTGTCATGGATAATTAAGATTTGTTTTGGTCCATTGAAATTTGAAGTTTGCACAAAATGTTGAAATTGGTTGCTTTCAGATGCTTCCATTTATATGGTCAAATGCTAACAAAGCATACATGTGTGTATGGAATTTGCATGTTTTATATTTGATCAAAGCATATACTGTGTGGCAAAGTTAGAGCTGGGTTTGGTTTTTAAAAAATCCAAACCGACTAAATCATGGTTTACTCTGAACTAAACCATTTTAAAGCTGGTTTAGGTAAAATCCATATACTATCTGGGTGAAGGACTCACCAACAATATTTGCAGACAATTGTATGTTTAGAACACATATTGTAGATTATCTCACTCCATGGTTCTTCCAATGACAGTGTTTACTGAATTTATGATATGCTTCAACTGTTCCTTGAGATATTATGTTTATTTGATTGGGGCTTTTATCAAGGTTATTGGCTTAGTTGTTGTTTAACAGTTTGGTAATGCTTATAAGTGACTATGGTCCTTACCTTTTGGAGCTTTTATCCTATTGGGACCAGTAACTGAGCACCACTGTGATGGCTGTACCACTTTATGTGAAAAAGATTGAATGTTATGCTTGTTTTCAATTTGCAGTCTACAGATTAGGAACCACATTGAGCTGGTCCTTTTATAGTTACTATCATGGAAGAATTGTAGAGCGTAAGATTTTGAATTTTGGTGAACGAACAATTGCTATTTAATAACAGGTTAATGTAATATTTTGTGGTGGTCCATTGTAACTCTGATTGTAGGGAAATAGGATAAATGTCTTAACATGTAATCTGTCTTTTCTGACCTGTTTTATAATTCATTGCTCTTGAAGTGCGATATATGTTGTTCTATGTGAAATGAGTTTTTAACACACTAGAACAGAAAATAGACGTACCAGCTGGAAGGTCACGTTCCTTCGTTGGGAAAGACATAATCTTTTTTACCCTTGTAACTTTTGTGGTGCTCCATTGTAACTCTGATTGTAGGAAAATAGGATAAATTTTTTAACATGTAATCTGTCTTTTATGACCTGTTTTATCATTCATTGCTCTTGAAGTGCGATATATGTTGTTTTATGTGAAATGAATTTTTAACACACTAGAACAGAAAATTGACATACCAGCTGGAAGGTCACGTTCCTTCCTTGGGAAAGACATAATCTTTTTCCCCCTTGTACCTGTTTCTGATAATTAAGTTGCTTTTTCTCTTGTCAGGTCAAGTATTGAAATTGAAACATCAAGATGCCTGCTACAGCAGGAAGGGTTCGCATGCCTGCGAACAATAGGGTTCACAGCAGTGCAGCTCTTCAAACCCATGGCATATGGCAAAGTGCCATTGGCTATGACCCTTATGCACCAAACAAGGAAGACAAGAAGGATTCTACGCAAAATCTGCCAAATGCAGAACCTGATGCTGAGAATGCATATGCTAGCTTTCAGGGGCTTCTACAGCTTGCTAAGATAACAAATGCTGATGTGGATATATCCCGTGGGGCCTGCAAGAAGTGTGGTCGTGTTGGACATCTCAAGTTTCAGTGCAAGAACTATGTGAAAATCAAGGATGAAAATGGAGAGAAGGATCCTGATGCAATGCAGCCTGTGGGGTTGATTGGATTGGATAAAAAATTGAAGGCTGAGAAGGTGGATAAGCGAAGTAATGTTGAGAGCTCAGAAGAGGAGGAGGACAGTGATAGTTCAGATTCTGAGATTGATTCAGAGATTGAGAGAATTATTGCTGAAAGGTCTGGGAAGAAAATTAGTGGGAAGAGATGTTCTTCCAGAACGAAGGGGGAATCAGATGATGACGAATCAGACAAAGATTCTGACAAGAGGAGAAAGAGAGGTAGGTCAAAGAAAAGGAGTTCTAAGAGGAAAGTTAGTGATTCAGATGATTCAGAGGAAGAGAGGAGGAGGAGGAGGAAGAGAAGGAGGGAACACCGGAGGAAGAGGGAGAAGTCTCCAGATGAAGATGACGAGTATAGACGCAGGCGTCGGAGGGAGAAGTCTCCGGATGAAGATGACGAGTATAGACGCAGGCGTAGGAAGGGTAGGCATGTCAACAAATCAGAAAAGAGAAGGAGCCGTCGTCACGATGGGGATGATGAATGATCATTGTATTACTCAATTTTTTTATGCCCCTCGACGTTTCTAAAAGTTCATTGTAATACATCTGTATACTTGTTTAAATATTGGACGACCTTGCTTTGCTTGAGTTCAGAGTTTGGATGTTCAATTACGTCTACTCTTGTTTAAGATTCAATGTTAAATTACTTTGACTTTATATTGATTTCTAAGATTGATGTTTTGCACAAGCTTTTAATATATTGCTGAAATCACGCTAATTTCCCTTTATTGAAGGTCATCTCTTAGATTTTTGACCATTTATTTTAGACTTTTTTTGATAAAATGTTTTTCATATTGACAATTTTTTTTTTTAAATTACATTTGGTTTTCTTTTGTCCTTAAAAGTTGATGTGTACAATGCCTCGTGAATTTTTATTAGTGATGTATTAATATATATTATGCTTTTCATAACAGATATTAGTGACGTGTTAATATGTATTATGTTTTTCTTAACAGGTATTTTCAAATTTTGTTATTGATTTGTACTAATCAGAGTGAGTTAAATTTCTGATTGGACATTGTGCATCTGCTTACCTCCTTTCCCAATATAGAGGAATCAAAATACGCTTCAATACATGAGGATTAATGATTTTGAGTTCTAAATAAAAAGCAATTCCAGAAATTAGTTAAATATGTTATGCAATAGAGTTGGCTACACTTTAATAGACTTTTCTTTTGGTTGGTTAAAGTATATTAATATCTATATATGTTGCATCCATAATATTATTTAATGGATAGATTAATACATGGAATGTTTCTTCATCATCTTTATTTTTTCCTCTCTCTCTCTCTCTCCCCGAATGAAAATGATGCATTTCTCCAAATGATTCTGCATATGTTAATCTCCTTTCTCGAGCGTTCAATAGATGATTTCACGATTGAGTTTGAAAAGGAAGGGTTTAAAAAAATAATTAAATATAATAATTTTATATTTAAATAATTTATTTTAATTAAATAATATGTAAAAAAAATTATGCCAATGTCGAGTCAAATATTTTTATACAATATAATAGAAATGTCTTTAATATAATAAGTCAACTAGAGAGTCAAATATTTTTATACAATATAATAGAAATGTCTTTAATATAATAAGTCAACTAGAAAGTCCTAAAAGATAAATTAGATTAAACTAAAAAATTTATGACTTAAATATAATTAAATTAATTTTATGTTTATACTTAGTACGTAAACTTATAAATTAATTTTTTATAAAATAATTATTATTTTTAAAATAAATTAAAAGTAACACTATTTTATTAAAAATAAATAAAAAATATTTTATTAGTAATATTTATAATGTGTATTTTAAAAAAATAAAAAATATATTATCTAATACTTATGATAAAATATGTTTGATTTCTTATTATGGATAAGTATAATTTCTCGTAACTATATCCAAAATAAAAAATAAATTATTCTTATTTTGTGACATTTTAAATATTTTAATTATAGTTTATTTCTAATAAAAAAAGTAAGTTGTTTTTATTTTATGATATTTTAAACATTCTTATTACAATAAGTATATAAATTATTTACTTCCAACCGAAAATGTACGTATTCTCGTCTTTATTCATAATTGGTTGTATAGTTAAGATCAAATTGGACCTTCTGGTATCTTAAAAAATAACACGACTAATTTTACTTATTTTATCATAATACATTTAAGGTTGAAATAATATTTAATTTTTTAAATCCTACTGAAATATTAGTACTCAAAACATTTTCTTAATTAATTTTTTTCATTAAAAATATTTTGTTGATGTAACAATGATGATATGAACTATCATATAATTTGTTGAATCATTATTTTTGTTAAACGACTTTGTTTAACTTCAATAACATTTATAGATAAGTGCATGTTTAGTGGTTATGCAATATCTCAACCATTAGTTATTATTACGGCAGTAATTGATGATAAAAGAGAATATGATGCATTGGAGCATAGTCAAAATTTTCGATGAAAATGAAATCCTGATACAGAGATCAAAGGGAATTCAAACTCGGTATAAAACAAAAGGAGGATAAAATCAATATTTGGGTGGAAAAATGGGTACTGGTTTATCTGATTCTTTGAAATAACATGAGCATTGATTCTTTGTTTTTTATTTTTATTTTTATTAAAACCATTGTATGATGAATTGTTTTGGTGGAAATATGGTTACTGGTTTTCCTTCATTTTCATGATGAAATGTCTGTTCCTATATTGAGGAAATATCCATTCACTTGGCTTGAAAGTCTTTTACTTTGTGCTTTTTCAAAAATCCAAAAGTAAACATGGAATGAACTGTTTCCAACCCATTATGTTTCTATTGCATTCCAATAATTTCCTCCCACTAAATGTTACTGAGATGTATTAAGTGCTAAAAACTGTGGAAAAATCGTATTCCCAGAATATTAAGCTCCAGGAGCTTTAGCTTTATAATTTGGCCATGATGTGACAAAAGTAGAGTCTAATACAATACAAATAACTGAACATGGGAATCAATTCCCACAATGTTATTTTAACTTAGTCATGATCTCAAACACTGTGAGTGTAATTAAATTTAATATTCACAAAAAACTTTATTTTTTACGATGATTCTGCCTAACTTGAATAAGAATGTCTCTAACAAATTATATATTTGATCTATAAAATAATAATAATAACAATACACCACAAACCTTTTTTCACCATCTGCAATTTGCTTTTCAGTCAGATAGCATGTTACAACTTTCTGCTATCTTTCTTTTGCCAAGAATTGACATCTTGTTCTTGCTGGTAACAAGACAAAAATATAATAAGTAACGTGTCAGGAAAATCAGAAAAACAGATTCCCTGTTAGCAAAAGAAATGGGAGACACTGTCATATCATATGTCTCAACTTTCTAATGTCGCTTACAAGTTACAACCACTAGTGAAATTCTAATGCAAACACTTGTTCACCAGGATAAGAAGTTATTGGTTCAAAGAACGGTACCATATGTTGGATAAGAAGCTTATTCTGATGTCAATCGATGTGTGTAAACAACACGTGATCTAATTTATTAGCACTTTGTCTTACTTATCTTATCAGCAAAAATTGTAGGAAAGGGAATGTGATAGGAATCGACGTTTAAAATATGGCAATTTGACCCCAAAAAATATTGATGTGATAAATCTGATATTTTATTTGTTAACCCCAGATTAAGGTGAGTCAATGTCCATGAACGAATATCTCATCAATTAGTAGTTGGCCCGCTAAGATTACATGTAAATTTTCCACCGTGAGAAATTAAAAACAAGCAAATAATAAACTCTGGAATATTGAATGCAGAATGTTGATGTGGTGAGGAATATATCATCATGTTTGTTCCCCTGCTCTGGGAGGCCTTTGAATTCCTCTATATATTGGAGAAGACAGCAGCTATCACACTACTCTTCCAAAGCTTAGCACAATAACAAAGTACAAAAAAGAAATTTCATGATGTTGACACATTGCCATGAATTGTGCAAACCAGTCTCTATCATGATTCTAGTAAACTTGGCCCTGGCTTTTGTCAATTTACTTCTGAAGAAGGTTCTTAATGAAGGAATGGAGTACATGTGCATTATAACATATCGACAGGCAGTTTCATTTATCTTCATGGCACCTATTGCTTGCATCTATGAAAGGCAAGAACCATATTCATTTTTTATGATCTATCTAGCCAATCCTACTTAGAGGAGAGAAAAAAATGATTGTTGTATTGTTCTTTCTCTTTGCCGCCTTAATCAACACATACCTTTGGTTAATATTCATGAGACCTCTGTTGTTTTAGTAGCAATTTTTCTTCTAGAACTACCTAATTTTTTCAAATGACAGGACAAAGCCATTTTTCTACTTTTTACAGGAAACACAAAGTGGAGGTTCACATAATATGTCTCTTGTTCCTCAGTGCCCTACTCGGGTGAGTAATATTATAACTAAATATAGGGTTCTGGTTCTGTATTGATGTTGTTTTAATTGTCATATAACAAGTACTTAGTTGGCAGCAAGAATTAAGAATATCTTGAAATCTAATCCCTCTAACCAAAATCTCACATTTAAACAAATTGCAAAAGTATAAACATGTTTCTGATTTTAATACTTTATTAATGCTTTTCAGAATAACACTTCCCCAATACCTGTTCCTTCTTGGACTTGAATATACGTCTGCCACATTCGCATGTGCGTTCCTCAATATGGTGCCTGTATTTACGTTCATTATGGCATTGCCATTTGGGTAAGTAAAAGAAAAAGAATATTATTTGGTTGTGGAATACAATAATAATATTGATCCTTAGGCTTGCTTGAAATTTTTCTAGGATAGAGAAGGTGAACATGCAAAGCAAGGGTGGTAGAGCTAAAGTCATGGGAACTTTTGTGTGCATTGGTGGAGCTTTGTTATTGGTCCTTTATAAAGGAATCCCCCTTATCAAGCCACAATCTCAACACATAGCTAACGAAGTTACAAGTACACCTCCAACTGCCAAGTTAGAGACGTGGATTATAGGTTCTATACTTCTGACTGTAGGTTGCTTCCTGTGGTCTTCATGGTTCATTATACAAGCAAAGACTAGCAAGAAATACCCATGTCAATACTCTAGCACAGCTATTTTGTCACTTTTCGCTGCCATTCAATCAGCAATATTAACTTTGATCATCAAGAAAAATAATGCTTCGTGGATTCTCAAAGGAAAGCTAGAAATATTAAGTATTCTATATGCTGTAAGTATATTCTTTAGAATAACATGATCATTTTAAATTATTTTAAAATAGTCCGTTTCTTTGCAAATTCCAAGTTCAAATCTAAATATTGGTTGGCATTTCAAGTAGAAGACTCAGCAATCCTGATTACCTGTCCGAGTCTTTAACATTCAAATTTGTTGTCTTTGTGATCCTAGGGATTGGTAGGGTCGGGCCTGTGCTATGTGGCAATGTCATGGTGTGTCAAACAAAGGGGTCCAGTTTTTACCGCAGCTTTTACCCCCCTTATCCAGATATTTGTGGCCATGCTTGATTTCTCTGTTCTAAAGGAGGAAATTTATTTGGGAAGGTTAATTTCTTTAATCATTCTTTTTATGATTTCCGCCCTTTCTACATTGCATTGAACCTAATGTATATCTATCTGCAATAAGCAGTGTTGCAGGATCTGCCTTGGTTATTTCTGGCATGTATATTCTTCTGTGGGGAAAAGGTAAAGAGGAAGGACAACATGTTCTGAAGGATACGCAAACAAGTCAAGATGTAGAACGTCAATAGCCATGCCATCAACGACACTGAATAACTTGATCTGAATGTGTACTATAATCTTCGGGAGACACGTGCTCTCAAAATAACAAAAAAGAAGTATTGTGCTACTATAGGAACCAAAAGCAGTTGCGTTTGAGACTTCTATACAAAACGCAAGATAAAAAAGGTTTAGCTTGAGGATAAAGATTTTGTCAATTATCCAAGTCAGTAATAGACTGTCACCTACTCGTCAATCACTGAATGCTTAATCTTTAAGCTCTCTCTCTCTCTCTCTCTCTCTCTCTCTCTCTCTCTCTCTATATATATATATATATATATATATATATATATATATATTTATTTATTTATTTATTTTTTTTATATTTAAAATTATACTTAAAATTTCCTTTTTAATGGTACTATAATTTCTTTGTCTACGATTTTTACTATGTATTCTGATTTAAACATGTCTTTCCAATTAGTTTTATAGATATTAGATATTTCTAATTTGGGAAAAGTCCATTTATTTAATTGATTTTTTATATATATATATATATATATATATATATATATATATATATATATATATATATATATTCTAGATGGATGGATTTGTACATGAGAAGCACAAGAGTTCCAGCTTCATATGGATAGATGGAACAGCATCCACTCATCAATATCTGGAATATTATAGTAGAGAAGTTCACTTTCAACCAATCACCATCGCACAATCAAAAAGTTAAAAGTTCTGGATAAAAACACCTTGATGTTGTTTTCTCGTGCAAAAAATATATCAGCAAGCATACATGTGAACCTGGAACATCAAGTTCATTTCAGAGAAGAATACTTCACATATATTGCTGCAATCACTAACCAACTCCAATAAAATCAATTTAAAACTCACGTCATACTGGTCACTTATCATTTCAATTTTAGCTAAGAATATATCTGCAATAGTACTAAAAGATACAAATACATCACATAAAAAGAAGAAATACGTCTAATGGTGCAAATTTTTTCCAATCATTAACAGGTAGAGTTCAAATTTTGCATTTACCAAGTTGTACCTACACATTAGATGGATTTCTTTCTTTCTGTTTTTGATAAAAAAATGTGTGGTGAGAGAATGTCGCCTCAATTTTAAGGCCGGAAAAATCTCCCAACTCCAGGAACAATAATAGATGACTTAATGAGAGTGATGACATCTTGCTAAATCCATAAACTAGAGGACTTCTGATTTTGATAAATGACATTGAGCTCTAGATTAGTTGCGATAATTCTTCCAAAAATATTAAATAGCAACAAACTTTTGATACCATTTACTCAAAAGAGAAAAAATTCATCTCCCATTGATGTATCCTTCAGCGACTTTTCCTTATTGTCCTTGTAAAAGCTAAATTTCGTTTGACGAACAACAAAATTTAGCATACAATAAGTTTCCACTGAATCAGGATGCGTTTTATCGTGAGCAATAAATCTATGAAGGACTCCAGATATTTCAACAAAACTAAACCCAGGTGATTTTTTCACCCCTCTTCTCTCCATAGCTTCTCTCATGCTTCTTGCATCATCCCAGCGTTTGTCGACAGCATAAACATTTGACAAACCAATATATCTACCATCATGATTTGGTTCTAGCTCAATAAGTTTCTTGCCAACTATTTCTGCAAGAGCTAAATTTCTATGGTTAATGCACCCACTAAAAAGGGCACCTAGCATGGAAGCTGTTGGCTCTATGGGCATTCGACAAATAAATTGGTATGCAGTGGTTAATTGATCTGCACGTGCCAGCACATCTACCATGCAAGCATAATGCTCGATTGAAGGTGTCATGCCACATTTATTAAGACTCTCAAAGAAGTACCATGCTTCTTTAACTAACCCTCCATGGGCACAGGCAGCCAACATGCACAAGTACGTGACCTCATCAGGTAGGATACCGACCATTTGCATTTCCTTAAACAAATTAAGGGATTCTTCAACTAACCCATGTGTTGCAAGACCTCCAATCATTGCATTCCAAATCAACACATCAGTTTGACTCTTAGAGACACCACGGAATACAAGCAAAGCCTCCTCTATTGCCCCACATTTGGCATACATGTCCACAAGTGAAGTCTGCAAGACCAATGTCACTAGCAATCCACTGTCAACTATGTACTTGTGTATCATTTTACCCTTCTCTAAAGCACCCAGATGTGCACAGGCACACGATACACTCACCATGGTTACTTCATTGGCTTTGGGCCCGACAGCCCGCATCTTTTCAAAGACAGACATAGCTTCCCTATATTCCCCAGCCTTAACATAACCGTCAATCAGAGAGCTCCACGACCGAACATCCTTTTCTGACATGGACTCAAAAACTTTATGAGCCATAACCATTTCTCCACACTTAGCATAGCCATCCAGTATGGAATTCCATGAAACCAAATTTTTTCCCTGTATACTGTCAAATACCTTTTGAGCCCACATAATATTCCCGCAAGAAGCATACATGTGAATCAAAGAATTCTGAATAAATCTGTCAGACTCGTGCCCAGTTTGTATAATATGAGCATGCACAGATACACCAATTTCCTGGTTTAAAAGGCGTGCTGATGCCTTCACAATAAATGGGTATGTAAAGTAATCTGGTGCAACCCCAAGTCGCAGCATCTTTAGAAAAATTGACAGAGAATAAATGGGAAGTTTGCTATTTGAGTAGCCTCTTATGATTGTATTCCAGTTAAAAATTGTTGGCCTGGAAAGCTGGGAAAAAACCCTGTAGGAATAGTTAATGTTGCCTGAATTGGATAGAGCAGAAAAACAAAGAATTTTGGATATAAATGGGTCATCTTGAGATAAGCCGAAGGAGATCACAACAGCATGAAGTTGCTTCAGTTCAAGCATTGATTTGCATTTTTCAAGAAGGCCAAGTAGATTTTGGTTTAAATTTGTAATTTTACATGACAAGGACACACCAAGCATTTACAGATATATCATGTAAAACCTGTATATCTAATGCTTCAAGTGTTGTGTATCATCCAAGCATGGGTGAGCTCAGGCAACACTGTTAAGAGACATACAATACAGTGGTTAGGGTTCAATAGGTCCTGCTCTGAATTGAATTTACAAAGTGAGCCATTAACAAATAAGAGTGAAGCAAGCTTTATAAACAGGAAGTCAAATTAAGACATAACGGAAGCACTCAAGCTTAAGCCTAAACAAACAAAAAATTAACAGATTATTTGAACAAATGAGGAAATAAAGTAACCTGGTTTCTTTAATTGTTTATTTTAATAAAGCTATTTAATTCATGAAACCTTCCAATACATCAGCACAAATTTGAAGAATAATCCGGTCTCATATTTCTTGACTTCAAAGTCCTTCCACCAATAATTTAGTCACCAATAGTTTTCACAGCATGACGGGGACTGAACCATCACAATTTAAGAATCAAACATTAAACATGAATATAGGGATCATACTCTATCCAGACCGTTAATCTAACATACATAATAATATACTTCATCCTCAAATCACAATGCAAGATAATGAAAAGTAACAGTCTATAATTGAGAATCAATCAGCTAAACCTCTCAACAAAACATATGGATAATAATAATCCAACTTAAAGTATGATCCAAAACTAAATATAGCATACAGTAATAGCATTGTCATCTATGCATTGCACTCTATTAGACAATAAAAGTTAAAACTGCGATTCTAATAAGGAGTTAAAAATGTTCAGCATAACAATGCATAATATGAATTCACTTTTAAAGCACTCCAAATTGTACAAATAATTTATCCCCGTCAAGTTGTTGTTTATGCAGTCAAGTTTCCCTGAGGCATTTTATCAAGCAGTTTGCAGTTGGTAACCATGTGTTCTTAGCCTTGAAACTAAGTCAGTTGAATCATAAAAGCAACTTATTGTAAAATGAAGCATAGAAAACAACAATATCAAAGCAGAGAAAGACGCAAAACCAACAATATAGCTAAGTCCATGTGATTCATACCGCAAAAAGAGACGTGCTGAAGTTTACTGAGATTTCCTTTCACGCAACATGCCACGTTAATTTCAGCTCGCGTAAGCGTTCTTTTCCCGTCAATACTAATATATCGTATCTGCAATGCAATTTCGCTCATTTCTTCACTCAATCAATTTCTATTGAACTTCTCTCATATGTTTTTTTCCTGGAAGGAACGCTAATACCAAAATGTACCATTAAAAAAACAAAACGTTCCAATTGAATAAAAATATAATTTTTATCTTTCTAAAATTTTTTACTTTCTTTTTAATTGAATTTTTTCTTTTTATCTTATATTTATTTTTATTTATTATTTTCTCTATATGATTTACAGGATTTTAAGAAAAATAAATAATAACATTTTTTATTTTTTATTTCTTTTCTACGAAATAATATGATTCATATTTTAATCGAACAACGAAGTCCTATTTCAAGATAATTTTCGATTACATTTTATTTTGTCTGTTTTTTTTTCTATTAAAAAATATCAATTATTGCTTTATTTTTTTTGTAATAACAATATGAGTGAATAATTTTTTTATATTTTTATTATGATATTTTTTAAATTTTTTATTATTATTTTATTTTATTTAAATTCTCTTGATTTTAATTTTTAAATATAGGTGATTATAAGTATAAAATTTATAAAAGAAAAAATAAGTTAATGAATTCTTAAAATAATAATAATTAAAAAGATAAAATAAATAAATAAAATATACTTAATACTCTTATCATATCTACTTGGATGCAGGTATTATTTGAGAGAAACTTATTTAATTTGTGTATAGTAACAATAATAAATGGGGAAATAATTGAATATATTTAAGTAATTTATGAAGTAACTGAGGTTATAGATTTCGACTTTAGAGTATTTAAGAGTTGTTAACCATGTTTAATAATTAAAAAATTATTTTATTATAAATTTTATATTTGAATTATTTAAAATTAAAAAAATATATTATATAAATAATTCTGAATAAGTGTTAAAGTATTAATGTGGAATCATAAAAAAATATTTATATTTATTTTCAAACCATTCTTATTAAAAAAAAAAACTCCTTAGTCGTGTTATTATTATTTTCTTAAGAACTTTAATAGTATTATTAAACAACCAAAAATATAATCTTTACTCAAATTAATGTTCGTCTTAAATTGTTTGTTGTCTTAATGCGCATTGGATGATCTTAAAAATAAGTTGCATATAAACGGGATAGTGTGACTTTATTAAAAACCTTTATATTTATATTTTTTATTTTTATTTTTAATTACCGGGCTTTTGACTAAATATTTACTTATTAGAAGAGGTTAAGTTAAACATAAATCAAATGAAGCACACTATTAAAAATAAACTAAATTATTTGAAATTAAGTTAACCATCTTATCTTTGCATTTATTTATTATTTATTTCCTCAATAAAAGCATTTTTTTAATAAAATTAAAAATTACAAAATATAAGTTTTTTTTTTAATTATGAACGTATTGGATTAAAATTATGTATATGCCTAAGTTTTTATAAATAAACAATATAAATTTATTTATATGCTCATATATATTCATATAAAATAAAATTTACTGAAAATATATTAAAAATTATAATAATATAAAGTTTAGAAATTATATGCAGAATAGGTTATATATATGAAAGAAAAAACTCAACATATATTTTCAATGAATATGAAAAGCGCAAAGGAATAATGTAAATACTTTAAACACTAGAAACAAACACAAATTGAAAAAAAAAAAAAACAATATCTTATATTTTTTAATATCTAAAAACAATTATAATTTAGTTAACTTAAAAATTATGTATTTATGTAAATGGGAGAGCTACTCGATAGAGAATGAAGACTTTCTCATATTATTGATGTATGAAAACTGTGACGTTTATATACATTGAGAATAGAAGTAATAGACTAAACAGAAAACGCGAAAATAAATCTCATGCACGTAACCATGCCCCGTGCATAGACCTATACATTTTGACTTAAATCTCAACATGCCTCCTTAAGTCAAAATCGAACAATTCCTAGAGACTCTATGAGTTTACAAAATCTAGCAGCCTTCAAAGGCTTTGTAAAGATATATGCACTCTGATCTTCTGTGTTGCAGTGCTCTACTTCAAACTTCTTATCATTAACATGTTCTCTCAAGAAATGAAACTTCATTTCTATATGTTTGCTTTTTCCATGAGCTGATGGGTGTTTAGTTAAGTCTATTGCAGACTTATTATCAACAAACAGTGTTGGTGGTTAGACCAATTCTGCATTCAGCTCCTTCAACAGCATCCTAAGCCATGCGGCTTGACACGCAACCTCTGCAGCAGCTATATACTCTGCTTCACAGGAGGAGAGAGCCACCACGGGTTCCTTGACTGAATTCCAGGACATTGGTCCTTCGCCATAGTAAAATATGTGACCTGCTGTGCTTTTCCAATCTTCCCTGTCACCACACCAATATGCATATGCAAATCCCACCAATTTCATCTCACCCCTGGCTTCTTGCATGGAAACATTATACCAAGATTACACGTTCCACGCAAATAGCGTAAGATACGTTTCACGGCATTCATATGGCTAATTTTCGGGCTCTGCATATGTCTGCTAACAATGCCAACACCATAGATTAAATCGGGTCTGGTGTTACACAAGTATCTCAGATTCCTAATGATTCTTCAAAATTCTGTGTGATCAATATCTTCCTCCTCAGTGCCCCTTTCTAATCTCAGACCCATTTCCATTGGAGTTACTGCAGCATTGCAATTCTTCATCCCGAACCTGCTGAGAAGATCACGTGAGTACTTCATCTGATGCATAATAGTTCCAGCTTTTGTGAACTGAAACTCAATGCCTAGGAAGTAGCTGAGTATTCCCAAATCACCCGTCTCAAATTCACTATGCATTTGAGACTTAAACTCTGCAATTGCTTCTAGCTTGCTCCCAGTCAACAGCATATCATCCACATAAAGACATACTATCATTTTCTCTTCTCTGTCATGGTCTTTCCAGCACTTGGTGTACACCCCTTGTTCGGAAACACATCTCACAAAACCAATCTTCTCCAAAAACTGATTGATATGATGGTTCCAAACTCTAGGAGCTTGTTTAAGCCTATAGAGTGTCTTATTAAGCCTGTATACCTTGTGCTCTTCTCCTTTGACTATGAATCCCAATGGTTGTGTTACATATATTTCCTCCTCCAAATAGTCATTCAAGAAGGCAGATTTTACGTCTAGTTGGTGGAAGGACCAACCCTTCCACATTGTCATTGCTACAAACAGTCTCCAGTCGAGCCACATGAGCATAGATTTCTCCATAGTCTACTTCTGCTTTTTGGAGGAATCATTTGGCGACCAATCTCGCCTTGTACCTCACAATTTCACCCTTGGAATTTACTTTTATTTTATAGACCAATTTCAGAGAGATTAGTCTTCTGTCTGGTGGTGGTTCAACAAGTGTCCACGTCTTATTTTTCTCTATGGCTTCAATCTCTTCCTTCATGGCTCGCACCCAATGAGTATCTCGAATAGCATCATAGAATTCTATCTGATTTGTCTCAGCTATCAAGGCGAAAGGCACGAAATTTCCATTCTCCGTTACCGCTAGATCATTAAAAACTTCATAATCCTTGAAACGTGTAGGTGGTTGAGTAACTCGTTGTGATCTTCTTGTTTGTTCATGAGGCTTCTGTTGCACTGTTACATCACCTACAACATCATTAGTTAGTGAAATTGTTGGTGTTGTACCTGATTGAGTTTCTTGACTCGTTTCCTGCCAGTTCCAACACGAGCCTTCATCAACCACCACATCTCTACATATGATTACCTTTCGAGAGTTTGGATCAAACAATTTATAGTCGCCTGTTACATGATAGCCGATCAAGACTGTCATAGCACCTTTGTCATCAAGTTTGCTACGTGTTTGATCTGGAATGCGGTGATAACAAAGAGATCCAAAAACT